CTGGAGTTCAGGCTGGAAGCAATCTGTGGGTTGTTTCTGCACATGCACCTGCCATCCTAGCAAGAGGTCTTGCCTCCAAGTCACCTAAGCTACCCACTAAGGATGACACTGAAAACATCTCCCAAGAGCCTGCTAAGTTTGGGGCTCACCAAGAGATCTGGTCCAGCCTTTAGCAAACCTCCCAGCACTATCCTATAAATCCTTTAGGTAACAATAAGCAGAAAAGACCAGGTATGGGAGCACATATCTGTAATCCCAGCACTGGGGAGGCTGAGACAGGAGAAACCCAAGTTTAAGGCCAGCCTAGGCAACTTAGAATTTGTCTCAAAATAAAAAAATAAGAGGCAGGAAAGGTAGTACATGCATATCTGAAATCCCAGCACTCTGGAAGATGAGTTAGGGTGCACTGCAAGTTTAAACCCTCCCTGGGCAATTTAGTGACTTAGTAAGACCCTGTCTCAAAATTTAAAAATGGGCTGGGAAATGTAGCTCAGTTTAAAGTCCCTGGGTACCACACACAAAAAGAGAGAAAGAAAAGAATAAAACAAGAGAAAAGAAAAGAAAGAAAAAGAAGGGGAAAAAAGGAGAAAGAGCTGGACATGGTGGCCCACATCTGTAATCCCAGCACTCAGGAGGCTGAGGCAGGAGGATCATTGTGAATTCGAGACCAGCCTGAGCTACAAAGTGAGCTGAATTGCATAGTGAGACACTGTCTCAAAAAGACAAAAAAAAGAAGAAAGAGAAAAAAATAAGAAAAATTTTAGAAAGGACTAGGGGTGTAGCTCAGAGTAAAGTACCTCAGGGGGTTGGGGAATAAACAGTAACATGGAACAGATTCATTGATCTCCTTCAATCCCAAAACTTCATCTTGGTTTTTCTTTTGTTTTGGAGACAGAGTCTTTATACAGTTCAGGCTGCCCTTGAACTCATTAAGTAGCTCAGACTGGCTTCAAACTCCTCGCAATTCTCCTGCCTCAGCCTCCTGAGTGCAGGAGTACAGGCGTGCACCACCACATCCAGCTTCCTCTGGGGTTTGAAACCAGATTAGTCATGATGCCATTCACCCTTGTTGATTCAATGTGCTACAGAACTGACCTACAGCTTCATATACTTTCCAAAATTATATAATTTCCACAAGGTATCATCCCGAAAGAAATATACCAGAAATGTCCACCAAACCCTGTGATTAGACTCAAGATGAAAATCTCAGAGACAAACATAGGATTTATACACACATTAAGAAAGGTTGTCATGGCAACTTTGCTGCAAGATATATATTTTTACATCTAAGCATATTTAGCATTTAAAGCACACTTGCATCTCCCCCAAAAGTTCTATATTGGGAATACTTTTTAAAATTATTTTCAAATTCTTTATGAAGCTATGCTTCTTTGAAAGCTTAACAAAATCCCATAAACATACTAGTAGCATAGACTTAAGCATGTATTTTCAAGAGCGCTTATGTGAAAAAGCCCAAGGTAAAAGCCTAATAACCTCACTTGTCTACTTCTGGATGCTCCAAGTTTGTCCTCTAATTTTTTGTTGTTGGAAGGTCATGCCATATAATCACTAAAAGATTTTCTGAAGCTCTAAAAGTCAGTCATCTATTAGCTGTTCATTGTGCAACATACACAACAAATCATGAAAATGAACATACCTAGTTCTCTAGTATAATTAAGCAGCAATTCAAAGAAATAGCTAATACTGTCCTTTAATGTAGCCAAACTAAGTCTTTGCTTTGTTTCTTCTTTAGAAGTTCCTCAATAGACCTAATCAGTATCAATTTTGGCAGCTTTGATAAGCTACCTATTCCTCTTACTTATACATTGATAATAAAGTCATATATTCATTCCCAATGGTTTCATATTGCTCTTTCTCCCACCATAGCTTCCTGTGTTCATTGCCATGTAGTTATCTGTAAATTCTTTCCTGTGTTGCTTCCAAGAAAGATCTGGCGAGCTCTGAGTGCTAGAAGGTTCAGGTGGTTAAGCTTTGGGATAGAAGATTGTGGGGTTTCCCTTTAGCCCAGGGTAAAACACAGAAGACGCAATAATAATGTCTATTTATTTGTGTCCCTTCCCCACCCCCAGTGCTGGGACTCAGACTCAACAAATGACCTGCATGCCCAGCCGGCCGTACCTGTGTGTTCACTGCTATATCCCCAGGACCTGCAAGAGGCTGGCTGATAAATGGATAGAAATGGAAAAATTCATTTGGTCAGTGTGATAAAATTCTATAAATCAAATACTAAAATTGATTTCTGTTTTAGAAGTCTGTTCTTTAAGTAATCTCTTTCCTTTAGGCCCTTAAAAATTAAGTCAAAAAGGAAAATGTTAAAAATGGATTAAGTGAAGACTGAACTGTACAGTTATGAATGTAATACATAAAAATGTATGTGGAAATAGAAAAAATAGTTATATGAATGTGGTGATTAGGTTAGAGAGTGAATGTGATTGCTTTGGCATCTAAATTCTCCCTTTTACAAATTTAACTATTGGTGTTATATAACTTTCAATAATTACTTAAAACAAACACATCATTTGAAACTACTGCTTGATTCTTCTCTAAAAACTAAACACACCAACAACATGCCACTCCAGATGTATTTATTTACTTAGACACAAGGTTGCTATGTAGTTCACACTGGCCTTGAATTCACTGTGTAGTTCAGGCTGGTCTCAAACACACTGTGATCCACTGCCCTACCTCAACCTCCCCAGTGGCAGGACTGCAGGTGTGCATTTCCACAACCACCTCCGTCAACATAGTTATCTTACACTGCTGCATTTATTGGCAGTTATGCCAGCACTCTTGATTCTGGCTCAGGTTCCCTGTTTTTGCCTGAATCGTTGCTTATTAGATCTGACTTGTTTTAAAATTCAACCTCAAATCATAGATACATAATAGGAAACAGGGAGACAGATCTTTTACAAATGGGAAGGGTACCAAGAGATAGAGAGAGAGGAAGTGGGAGGAAAAGGGGACCGGAAAAAGAATTAAGGTGTGTTACACAGGTTGCCTTAGTTACATTTCTCATTACTGAGACAAAACACCCAATACCCAGTTAAGGAAGGAAAGGTTTATTTCGCTCACAGTTTGTAGAGGTTTCAGTTCCTGGTTGGCTGGCTGCAAGTCAGGGTGAAATGGCAGGGGAAAAACAGTTCATGGTGGGCAGGAGGCAGGAAGGCAGCAAAGCAGCAAAGGAGTGAGGAAGAGAGCAGCAAGCAGCCACAGCAGCCTTGTATCACTTATTTTCTATCCAGGGTACCTGCCTTAGGGTGAGTAGCACTCACACCCAGGGAGGGCCTTGCCGTCATCCACTCCAAGAACCATGCCAAATCAGTGGGTGGACTGATTCAGTAACCACACAAGCTTGATCCCAGCATCACACTCTAGATCCAGCCACCTCTGAAAAGCCCCACTTATGACCACGTGAGGCTTTGGGCGGACATGTTGGAAACCGGGCTGTACAGAGTTAAGTTGCTGAACACACGGACCTCTGGCTGTTGGAAAAGGGCATATACACAATGCTCTCAGGTCAAGATAAACACCACCGCTGAGGCAGCCCAAGACACAGCTGCTGACACCCCCTATTCCAGAGCAACAAAGCTGCCAACCTTAGAGATCAAACAGTTCTCTTAACTGGCAAATTTACTGCTTGGAGAGTTCATTGAGCTGACTCCCAAAGTCCTGCTCAGTTCCAGAAAGGAAGAGGCCAGGAACCCGAAGACCCCCAAGGTCACACCTCTATGACTCATCCACATGATACCCAAAAGGGTGCTCCACCAATCTCCCAGGTGGATGCAATCCAAGTGACACTCTATCCTAACCACTACAGCATATAAAACAATACACAATTGTATCTTGAAAGATACTACTTAAAATATTTTTGAGAGAGCCCTAAAATGTCTTTGCTTACTAATGAGATGAAACACTTAAAAAAAAAAAATTCTAGGGTACTGGAAGTTGAACCCACAGCTTTTGGACTGAGCTATATCCTCAGTTCTTTCAAAAATTTTTATTTTGAGACAAGGTCTCACTAACTCACTAATTTGCCCAGTTTGGATTCCAACTTGTTATCCTCCTGCCTCAGCTTCCCAGAGGGCTGGGATTATAGGCACATACCACCAAACCCTATTGACTGAACAGTTATCTAAAAGGTGTTAGCCATTTTGTCCTGTAAAAGCTGTTTGTTGTTACTCTTTGTCCATTTATCTATTGTATATTTTCTTACCAGCTTGTTTATGTAATATGGCTATTATCTCTCTGTTATGCAAATTCACACACATACACTCACACACACACACACACACACACACACACACACCAGCTATGGCTTTTGGTTAATGCCCTCTTTCTCTTCCTCTTCTTTTTTTTTTGCGACAGGGTCTCTTGCTAAGGCACCTAGGCTGGTCCTGAACTTGAAATCTTTTTTTTTTTTTTTTTTTTTTGGTTTTTCTCCGGTACCGAGAACTGAACTCACGACCTTGCGCTCGCCAGGCAAGCGCTTTTGCCGCTGAGCTAAATCCCCGGCCCTGAGCTAAATCCCCGGCCCACTTGCAATCTTCTTGCATTGGATTTCTAAGTAGCTGGAACATAGGTTTGGGGCACCAAGTCCAGCTTGCTTCTTTCTTACTGACAGGTTCATTATGTTTAGAATGTGACAAAATAAGTCCATATTTAAGAACTTTGCTTCTTGCACAGATGTCAGTTAGTGGAATAACAGAGCACTATTAAGATCTTCAGCAAAATAGTGGGACAAGCCTCAGTTTTGGTTTGTCATGTAAGAGGGGTGCTTCCAAACACATTCAAGAACTGTATTATCATCCAAGTGATGCAGGACTGTTCAAGATGAGCTTTGTGTAAACCACTGAATGGACACTGCTGTGTGGGGAGGCAAAAAGATAAATGTAAGAATACTCAATGAATTATTTAAACTTAATAAAAATGATTAAAACAAGCTAACAGCCAGAAGATTAAAAAAAACTCAAGAAATGAAATTATAGTAAATCCTCTTTATTTCCCTTTAAAGTGATTTATTGAAAGTACAAAAAGGAATTAGGATTGTGCTTCTCTTTTATGAATATTCAGAAAACATGATTTCCAACTTGTACAAAATAATTTCTCTCTTCAAGAATATTCATTTTAGAAGTTTTTAAAGAAAAAGATAAAAATAATGGCTTACAAAATGATAAAAATTAAAATTAGAAAATTAAGCTCCCTATTGAAAGTATCCATATATTAGTGTGATTAAGTGTAAGTGCATTTCATGCATTAAGACAATCTAAGATATAAAAGTTAAATTTACTTAATAAAGTGACAATGGGCATTTACACTGTGAAATGATACTTGGCTTATAAAAGGATTCACCTTGTAATTTCTAAATGGTCATCTTCTTCAGTCTATTTAACAAAACTTTTAAATGTACACAATGTTAACTTCTCTTTGAGACAGTGATCCAGGCTTCGTCCTTTGTCGACGTGACCAGTTCATACTTCATTTCCACAACCTGACCCTCCACAGGAAGAAGGAAGAGTCTCCTCACCAACACACTCAGAAGGACTGTGGCCACCATATATGCAAACCTAGGAGGAAGCAAGCTGACCAGTCACTGAAGATTAAAAATTTTACTTTCACTCTACAGACCCCTCATTCTCATTAATAGTCACCACCCAAGTTCTAAGTCTAGGAGCTCTTCCTTTCACGTAATTTTCTCCATCATTCACCTCAGCTCTGGACATTCCTGTGTGCCTGAAAATCCAAGCGTGGAGAAAGTTTTCATTACTGAGTTATCATCAAAGCGATCTGGATCAAATCTGAAAAGAAAATTTGGGGTTAATGACAATATAACTCCACTGGTATTTCACATATTGACATAAAAAACCCACAGCTAGGTAACAAAGTTTAAAGCTATTCAAAATAAAGCTGTCACTTTATATTTTACATTCCCAAATGATTGAAAATATGTATATTTACTCTTGCTTCTTTCTTTCCTTATTTCTAAATAATAGATGCAAAATACATTTCTCTGAACTAGCAAGTAATGAAATTATAATAAGTTTAGGTCATTTTATAAAATACAAGTATAAATCATACAAAATCACATAGTGAACAAATAAATTTAAGAACTGTTACATGAGATCACCTGATCAATATGTGAGGTATTTTACATTGTTTCTTTTTTTTTTTTTTTTTTTTTTTTTTTTTCTCCGGTACCGGGAACTGAACTCACGACCTTGTGCTTGCCAGGCAGGCGCTTTTGCCGCTGAGCTAAATCCCCAGCCCCACATTGTTTCTTCAATTACAATTTATTTCTTAAAATTAGGGGTTCCAGCCTTAAACTTCTATTTATCAATTACATTAAGCCAGGTTTACTAATAAGCCAGGGAAGAGAAAGCAACCCAAAAAAAAGCTTTTCCTTATTGGGTTAATCATATCCCTCAGTTATTGTGGGCTGATCAGGTCCACAATCTCCCGAACAAGTGTAGAGCAAAGGATAAATAAAAAGAGGCAAATGGAATGATTTCAGGGCTCCAGAAGGATCAAAGCCCTCTCACAGAATTCAAGATTCTCTTAGGGCTAAGACCCAGACCTTCTCTGGGTGGCCCATATTTATTTGGTTATCAGAAGAAGGGAGGGGAGTGTCCAGAAGGACGGAATCACTCAAGGACTTCTAGTAAGGTATTAAGTTAATCCACCCAAGAGTGAGATGTCTGAGGCAACAGTCTTTATCTAGTTGAGACTGGATCCAGGTGTCCTTGGCTGTGATCTTCTCTTGCCCTTTGAAGCTTTCCAGCTTCATCCCCACTATAAGTTTTAGTAGGGATTAGTGACTCACAGAGGTTCACTTACTATGAGTCTGACATTTCCAGACAAGAAGCCTAGGCCTTGGACAGACTCACAAGTGAACATAAAAAGCCAACTGATTAATTTAAGTCCTGCTCAGGTCTGCTTTGTAGTGGCCTCCATCATTTCCTGTTCAGAATTTCTTCTCTAAAAAGTCACCATGGGAGTAGATATATTAAAACCAAAACAACTCACCTACCATGGGACATGATTCCTTTCATATACGAATGTTTTTAAAAGATCTAAACTCCAAGTTAAAAAAAAAAGAGAGAAATTCTGATTTAATTTACCTAAAACAATATGAATTGCTTTTCACATCTGGGATACACCACACTTCTAGTACAGTACATATAAAAATAATAACAATCAGCTCTTCCCTTTTAAACTACCATGAAAAATTGAGGCCCTGAACATTTATCTGAAGATAACTATGTATTTTCAGACTTAAAAAGTCAAATTTAAATTTTCAGATTTGTTATAAAACATCTCACATAGTTACTGAATTGCTTTTTGAACATTTTTTGGACCTAGGGTCTTACTAAGTTGCCAAGAATGGCCCCAGACTTGTTCTTATTACCCCCAAGCAGTGAGATTACAGGCATGCACCACTATGCCTAACTTAACTTTTTTCTGAGAAGCTGTGAATGACACCCCACATTTTAAACATTAAATTAAAAATAAAATAAAACTGGGGCTGGGGATTTAGCTCAGTGGCAAAAGTGCCTGCCTGGCAAGCGCAAGGTCGTGAGTTCGGTTCCCGGTACCGGAGAAAAACAAAAACAAAAACAAAATAAAATAAAATAAAACCAAAGAAAGTTTTGAACTGATTATTTAATCTCATATATTGAGGACTTTAATTTGGCCATCTTTTTAAAGTTAATCACTTTTAGTCTAGTTTTTAAAGCTGATGTATTTTATCATTCAGGTAGAATATTTACATTATTCACTCCAGTCACAGAATTTGAGAGGTCATTGCTTTGATACACTGCCAATATATTCATGGTAGTATTGCACTTTCAGTTTTCAGGGTTTTGGGTGGGGTGTTTGTTTTTGAGACAGGGTCTCACTATGTGGTTTAGGCTGCCTTTGAACTTGTGGTGATACTCCTGTCTCAGACTCTCAAGTGCTGGGATTACAGGCACGTGCCACCATGTCCAGCTCAGTGCTGGACTTCTATGCATTTCTTCTTATAAATAAGTCACATCTAAATACTTTTTTGTAGGGAGAATAAGTTTAAAGTCAGCAATTCATTCAAAAAGGAAACATTAAAACCATAATGAAATTCATTATATACTTAATTGGACAAGAAAAATTTTAAAAAATGAGAATAACAAATGCTGATGAGGCTGCAGAGAAACTGGATATGCTGGTAAAGTGTTAGTAGGAAATTTCTGAAAAACAGCCCAGCCATTTCCCACTAAACTAAACACCTACTTTACCATATGGCTCTTGGGCACAAATATATCCCAAAGAAATGAAATTCTATGTTCAAATAAAAACTTGTATAAATGTTTATAGACGTTTCATTCACATCAGTGAAATGTTGGGAACAACTGTAGTATCCCTCATTAGGTGAGCAGCTGGAATAATTCTGCTACCCACACACAATGGAATAGCATTCAGCCACAGAAAGGGTATCCACCCATCTATCTGGACTTCCAAGGCATCAAGTTCAGTGAAGAATGTCAATCTCCCCATTCTGCTCTTTGTGACAATTACATTTAAACTACAAACGATTTACTCCTCCTTGAGGTCTGTCTCAGGACTGTGTGCTCCTGTTGGTACGAATGGTCTCTTAGGGTCTCCATATGGGATGGGGAAGGAAGTGACAGCTTCAGAAAGCTTGTTTTTAGACATAACCCCACCACCGATAGTGCCCAACTTTGATTATACCTAACTTCTAAAGATGATTTCCACATCTTAGAATCTATCCCTTTTACTATTTTCAATTTGTAAACTAGATTCTCCAATTATTTTGAGGACAGCAATATCAAAAGTCTCAGCACGTCTGTCTAACCTCAAAACAATTCAATTCGTAACCTTCTTCTATAACAGTAAATCTTTAGTTGCTGCTCAGAGGCAGTTTCACTAGCTGCTCATCTAGGAAGCAAACAACAGTAACTTTGTCCTTCACCTTTGCCTGTCTGCCACATGCACACGTACACACATACACACATACACACGACAGCTATCTCTGAATTCTACTAAGGAGCAGGATAGCTGAGGCCAACTGAATGGAAAAAGGAAATAGCATGAGCAATACCTACTTAACAACAAAAGAATTCCAAAATCCTACTGAATTTAAAGGTAGAGAGATGAGGCTAACAGATCTTAGAAGTGGTAATAAAAGACAAAATAGCAGACAGATGATTCATGGAAGAGGAAAAGGATCACAGAACACAGAAAAGGAAGGCAGTGGCCTTTATTTGTTATATTATTGTCATAAACTGAATTTTCTCCCCAGAACTTAGAAGAGAAATGCACACATAAAAATCAACAATCACAAAATAGTAACAACTACTTCATACTTGTGTGGTGATGGCCAAGTGTTCGGATCCTGAAGTACCACCCCAAGGGCATAAAGGACCAGAGTCTGAAAGGAAATAAGTCAAATTAGGTAGTTAAGGTGAAATCAATTCATCCTGCAGTTTTGTGGGTTTGTTTGCTTTTCCAGATGTGTGTGTGTGTGTGTGTGTGTGTGTGTGTTTTGAAACAGGATCTTGCTACATAGTTCAGGCTGACCTTGAAGTCACTATGTATCTCAGACTGACCTCAAATCTGCAGCAATCCTCCTGCCTCAGCCTCCTGAAGGCTGGGATTACAGGCCTGTATCACCATACCTAGCTACTTTTTTTTTTTTTTTTTTTTTTGAGACATGGTCTCACTATGCAGTTCAGGCTGGCCTTGAGCTCACTTTGTAGCCCAGGCTGGTCTCGAACTCACAACAGTCCTCCTGGCTCAGCCTTCCGAGTGCTGGGATTACAGGCATGCACCACCATGCCCGGCGACCTAGCTACTTTTTACATTCAAATTGAATTTCTAAGATATGTATATATGTGTTCGCACACACTCAAAGTGTAACATACATAGAAAAATATATACAAAAGAATACTAAACTATTAACAATAGTACATATAAGGGAGGAAGGCTTTTATATTATTTGAACTTTAAAATAAACCCATATTATTTTGTAATTTTTTTTAAAGACTGTGTCTTTGATTACCAATGGGTAGCATTTACTTACTTTAAACAATAAAAATTTTAAATACATACCAAAAGAGTTGAGAAGAATAGCTTAATGAGTTATATATGCTAAATGTTTCCTACCTCCCTGGGAATAATGAATTGATCAATCTTTCCTTCAATATCTTGAAGCCGGGCAGAAACTGGGGTCAGTCTGGCAGTTCGAACAGTTTCACAAAGCACTTGCCGACAATACCTGTTTTAAAAATTTTAAGCGTATATTGCTTAAGTCAGTAAATGCAATACACCACATTATAGAATAAATATCAAAACTATGTGATCATCTCAATAGATACATAAAGGGCATTCGATATACATCAACATCTCTTTATGATAAAAATGCTGATCAATTAGGTACAAAAGAAACATAATAAAAGCCAGATGTAAAAGCCCAATAGCTAACATTATACTGAATGAGGAAAAGCTTTCAAACATTTTCTCTAAAATCTGGAGCATGACAAGGATGCCTACTTCTAGCTCTTTTAATCAGCACAGTACTGAGTCCTAGCCAGAGCAATCAGGCAAGAAAAAGAAAGATAATCAAAACTGAAAAGACAAGTCCAATGGTTGCTGCTTGAAGATAACAAGATCTTATACACAGAAAACCCAAGGACTCCACCAAAAAACTGTTAGAATTCATAAACTCAGCAAAGTTGCAAGATACAAAATCAACGTACCAAACCAGCAGGGTTGCTGTATACCAACAGCTAATACTCTGAAAAAAAGTCCAGAAAGTGATCACAATAATAATGGTTACAAATAAAAGAAAGTAAAATAAAATAGCTAGGAATAAATTTAACCAAAGAGGTGGAAGTGAACATTATAAATTGTTGACATGCACATGTAAAGGAGACACCAAATGTTCAAGGATTGGATGAATCAACATTGTTAAGATGTCCATACCACCAAAAGAGACCCACAGATTCAATGTAATCCCTATCAAAATACTGACACTCTTCACAGAACTAGAAAACATTCTGAAATATGTATGGAACCACAAAAACCTTAAATAGCTAAGGCCATTCTGAGTCAAAAGAACAAAATAGGAGGCATTATACTACTTTAATACAGTACAGTGCTATAGTAATCCAAACAACACGGCACTAGAATAAAGAACAGACACAGACAATGGAGCCAACAGACAGCCCACACCTCTGCAGTCAACTGATTTTCACAAAGATTCTGAGGATATACACTGGAGAAAGGGTAACCTTTTCAATAAATAGTGCTGGGAAAACTGGCTATCCACTTGCAGGAAAGTAAAACTGGACCAAGATCTCACACAGTAATTCAAAATGGATTAAAGATATACTTCGCCCAACTTAAATATCATTACAATGTGTACACGCATCAAAATATCACACAGTACCCATTAATATGTACAATTTTTATATTTTTAGACATAAGTTAAAAATATTTTTCTTGGTACTGGGGGTTGGACCCAGGGCATTCACACTGAGCTGCTTCCCCAGCTCCCCACTTTTAAAATGTTTTCTTTTGAGACCCAGTCTCACCAAACTGCTAAATTACCTGGGTGATATTCTTGCCTCACCCTTCAAGAGTGCTCATCTTGGAAGAGGCAGTTTAAAATTTCCATACATACTGACAGTATCATTTGACAGCTTCTTAAACCTTCCTAGTGTGAAACAGTTCCGTAATTCCTACTTGTGTAAAGACACATTATGCAAGATACAGGTATATAAATTCCAGGTAGATAAACATTTAAACAAAAAAACTTCTAAAAATACCAGAAAAATCCCATGGATGCTCTTAATGTTTAATTTTACAGATTAAAATTAGAAGGAGCAGGGTTTGTTGACATACTCACCTATAATCCCAGCCCTTGGGAGGCTGAGGCAGGAGGATCACTGCTAGTTCAAGGCCAGCTTGGGCTACAGAGTGGGTTCAAAGCCAGCCTGCACTACATAGTGAGACTCTGTCTCAATCAATCAATCAATCAAATTAAATTAAAAGGAATTCTTTAGAATCCCATAGAAGTGGTATAGGATTCAAACCCTCACCTGACTTTTTCTATAGCCCCTAATTTTAACCACTATGCTACTCTATGTGTCTTTAGACCATAAACTCACTTGTAAGACCTTATTATTCAGAAATAACTGGAAATACTAACAAAAATGTAAGCATAGTAGTGCCGTAAACATAGTAACATTTCCAATATGAAAAACAACAAAAACAGTTTGGGTATGGTGGCACATGCTTGTAAGCTCAGCACTCAGCAGGATGAGGCTGGAAGATGGCCATGAGTTTGAGGGCAGTCTGGGCTTTGTGAGTTCAAGGCCAACCTGAAGTACACCGTGAGACCCTGTCTCAAAAAAACAAAACAAAACCAACCAACAAACCAAAACCCCAACAAAAACAAAAGAGGAAACACCTTTTCCTTTCCTTTTTGAACAAATATTTATTGAGTACCTACTATGCTAGATACTAAGCTGCAACAGTGAACAAGACCTGCTGTTTGTTTGTTGAGACAGATCTCCCTGTACAGTTCAGGATGGCCTTGAAATCACTATGTAGCCCAGGCTGGCCTTGAACTCATGGCTATCCACCAACCTCAGCCTCTCAAGGACTGGGACTACAGGTGTGCATCACTACCCCAGCGAACAAGATCTATTTTCTAAGAAAGTCACAATCTAGGAGGCAGAAGAGGGAAGGTAAAGGGGATGAAAGGATCAAAGGTTAAACAGGCTCAGTAAATGCTACCAGAAGAGATGGAGACTATGACGGGAACATGTGGCAGAACACCTCATGTAGGAAAAGAGCTTTGCAGAGAAGCAAATACTTAGGGTAAGACCTGCAAAACAGTAAGAAGAATGCAGCTAGAGCAGAGGAGAAAAGAAACAACCTACATAGAGGAATCATCTGTGCAACAGACAAAAAATAAGAGGACTGTATCTGAAATCAAGTTTACATAAAGCTGAATCCAATGGTATAAAGAAAGACAAGTGATGAGAGATAAAGTAGGAGAGGCATGTAAGGCTTGGGCATTTTATTTGATTTTATTTTTTAATGGTTGTTGTACTATATCTTGATTTCTCCAAAGTGGTCTCTAGGGAAAACAAATTGAGCTGTACATGAGTGATCAATCAAATAATCATTGACTATTCTCAATGGTTGTTGTTGAAAACACATAGTAATGGGGGCTGGGGATTTTTTAGCTCAGCGGCACAGTGCCTGCCTGGCAAGCATGAGGTCGAGAGTTCGATTCCCGGTACCAGAAAAAATATATATATATTAAAAAAAAAGAAAACACATAGTAACAAACATACATCCATTTATGAAATAGCACAGGAACAATATAAACATTACAGATTTATGGTCAGATTGGTAGGAAATCAGCAATGGCTGCTGCAATACATGTCGGCATCCTCAAGGTGGTTTCTCAGGAAAACAAAGATGTGCAGAAAAGATCCAACAAGTAGTTACAGCCCAGGGGTTGCAGAAATAGCGGATTACGTCCTCATCAGTGACTCCCCTCACTGAGGCGTGACGGCTGGAAGAAAGGCCAGGGCTGAAAAGAAGGACCGAGAGACCAGCACCAGTGTCCAGCAGCGGGCCGTCCACTTTTTCCTCTATAGTCATGGTTTCGCGGGCCTCCTCCTTCTCCATGAAGGCGGTTCTATAGAATCTGAATACTGGGCACCCATGTAATCCATGAAGTCTCGCTACAGACCCTTCCGGAGCTCCACTCTCTCCTCCAGCGCAGCCTGCACAGTTAGGGGGAGAATGGCTTCCAGGGCGTCTCCCCGGGGATTGTCCTCCCGGTTTCCAGCTCCCGGATGGCTCCCGCGTCCCCTGTCAGCTCCACCTCTGCGTCATCGGGCGTCGGTGCTCGTGTTCACCGAGTCCTTGTTCATCAGCTGCTCCTCCGCTGACTCCGGACCTTTCTGGCTCTCAAGGGCAGGGCCAAGAGCGCCCCGCCGTGTGGCACGTTTTCCCAGGGGTTTCTCCACGTCGGGATGGTTCACGCACGTCTCGGGGCGGGCCTGTTGTGTCGGTGCTTCTCTGCGACCTCGCGGCGGCGGCACGCGTCTCCGCACCACTTGCCGGGCGCCTGCAGCCTGCCTTTGCCGGCACCTGTGTGGCGGGGCTGCGCCTGGCACGCCCCAGCCCCACGCGGCCTCCCCTCCCCAGGCGGGCGCCTGCCCAGGGGTTTTATTTTAATTTGAATTTTTTAACTTTTTGTTTTTTTGAGACAGGGTCTCACTATACAGGCCTGGCTGAACTTGAACTTGTTATGTCACCAAGCTTGGCTTTGAACTCATGAAGCTCCTGGCTCAGCCTCCCAAGTGCTGGAATTACTGGTGTGTACCACCATGCCTAGCTAAGGCTCAGTTCTTGAAATGCCACATGAGCTACTCAGGGAGCTTAACATTTACCTTAAAAAGTGAGAAGTCAGTGCAGGACATTAAATGGGGAATTTATTCCCCATTTAAATCTCTGACGCCCAAAAATTGTGAGTCTGCTGGTCCAGAATACGTATCTGCGCACACACAGGTATTTTAAGGGGCCTGAGCCATCGGCAGGGTAGCCACAGGGCTCCAGCAGCGATACAGAGAATGGCTGGAGAGCAGCAAGAGCCATGGCTTCGTGTCGCTATAGTTTTGTCTTTTCTATAATTTCACACAAATGAACGATGAAGTAGGCAGGCTTTGTGTTTCACTTCTTTCACTCAGCACAGTAAGACTTGTCCATGCTGTTGTGTATACACTGATTCTGTGTTCCCTTTATTACTCAGTGTTCCACAGCATTGTTACACTGCAATGTGCTCACTGATTTACGATTTACCTTCTGGTGGACACTTGAGTTGCTTCCAGTTTGGGCTATTTTTAGCCCAGGCTCTGTATGGAATAGTTTTCACTGCTCTTGGGAAATACCTAGAAGTAGTATTGTTGAGTCATACAATAGGTATATATTTAACTTTGCAAAACCCTACCAGGCTCTTTTCAGCTGCGGCTGTACCATTTTGTATTCCCTCTAAAAGATATGAGTGTCCCAGTTGCTTGACATCACCGATGCTTTTTATTTGTTTTTGCCTTTTTCTAGACAGGGTGTTGCTTTGTAGCTGAGACTGGCCTTGAAATCATGATCCTCCTGCCTCAGCTTCCCAAGTCCTGGGATTACAGGTGTGCACTACTACACCTGGCTACTGGTACTACTTAATACAGGCTAATTGAAAGATTTCTCAGACTTACTAATTTTTAAAACACACATTAAATGTCCATGAAGTCTCTATATATTTTGTGACCTATAAAATATATACTTTCCAAGATATTAACAGTACATTTAAATTAGACAAAGCAGTTCAAATTTACCTTTTGATGATCTCCTCATTCTCTCATTGTATTCTTACCTCAGCTGCTCAATCTTCTCTGGTGTAATAGGATTCTTCCCCAAAACCTGGTCTATCTCTTCATATAGTGTTTTTTGAACTTCTTCCGAAGTGGTTAAAAAACAGATTGCCCAGGTACACACTATGAGAAAAAATTACATTAATAACAATGAAAACAGCTAATTCTTGGTTTGGGGCTAGAGTACAAAAAAACTAACAGTCTTGGTTTTGTTTTCCTCTTATTTTTGCACCCCCAGGTACACATGACAAGTAAATGCTACTCAAACATAAAACAATATTCTTCATAGGACTTGTATGTCATTGAATGGGACGTGAATGTTTAAAGAGGGAGATCATACAGTTTAGATGCTTTCTTACATCTGTTAAGTAACTCTCTAGTTACTTAATACATTTTACCTTAGAAAAAACAGTAGTGACATTTCGTATCTGTGGAATATTCAAGGCTAGTGATAGTGATGAATTATCTGTTTCACTCAACTTTGTAAAATAAAAAATTTGATTTATTATCACTAATAAAATGATCCACACAAATCAAACCAGCAGATTTATCTAAATACCACCCTGTAAATGTGTCACTTGTAATGGTAAACATATCAGCTCTTGAATTGGGACTGATTACTGCTCAGGACAGTAATTCTAAAACACCACCTGGAGGTGGTTGAGGCCACAACTTCACATCCATAGTCTATGGGCTGAGGCCCAGGAATCTGTACTTTTAACAATACTACTATTGTTTTGATGTGAGATCATTGGTTTATGGTTTTTTTTTGCTTTAAACTGATTTACGGATTATATTCACCCAAGGAATGGAAATGCAAGAAAATTATATGAAGAGTATAAAAGAGAAGAAATAGAGTGGTTATATTTCCTGTATGAATCCACTAGGATTATAACTAGTCAAAAAATGGGGCCATCTGGAGATATACTATTTTTCCCTAGAATATATTTAAACTGACACTATAGCTCTACTTTTTCTGTCAAAAACTTTTTAATATGCTGAAAATTTTTATCTCTACTTACCAATTATCTCTTTCCTGACTGAAAGTTTTATTATTTTTTTGTGGCACTGGGGATGGAACCCAGGGCCTTCTTTATGTAGGGCAAGTGCTTTACCTCCCACAGCCCCCAAATGTAGTACTTTTTAAATGTTCAGATGATTCATTTGTACTATTAGTATCACTAAAATCAGTAAGTACATTGTACTCAATTATTCGTGAGTGACTGCCTATCTGTAACGCTCACCTACATATGCTTATTTCCTATGGCTTTTTTTTTTTTTTTTTTTTTT